TTGGGGAGCGGTAAGTGAGATTCAAAAAAAAAACAAAATACTCAGCAGTAAAAATCTGTTTTTCACGTGAACTTAACAAGAGTGTGAAAACTCAGGAAAATACGATCGAAATACTTCGCTATAAAATATTTGAAATAGAGCTGCAAATTTGAAGTACAAAATTATTTCCCTCCACAAAATTATTTCCTCATAGGATCTGCCCTGCTATAGCATACGCGTGTGTATTTATATATTTTATCATTTCATATCTGAAATCATCTGGCAAAAAAAAAATAAATAAATGCCAAATTTTAATTACCTATGTCCTCTCTCATTTTCACCTTACATATAAAAATGCGATTTTACCAAATAGCTTCCGTTCCTTTTTTGCACAAATTTTTTATATATATATATGTACATGCATACATATAGTATTTCTCCCCTTCTACACGAGCATTACCCACTGTTGGCATCGTTGCGCCTCATTATACGTTACACCTGAGTTGTACTTCAATTCATATTTATATTTCGGTATGCCGTAATACAGTTATAAATGTGATTATTGGGTACAGGAACAACCAGTGGATACACTTCAGTTGATTTTATTAAACATTTATACACTCAATCAGCAATAAAATAAAAACATCATCATCAACAGCATCATCGAATCGAATGAAAACATTAATAAATATCGTACAAAAACAACGTAACTAAATTTTCTATATGTACAAATACGGCAAAAACTTTTTTGTAATATTTTTTTAAATACATTTTTGAAAAGTTCAAAAAACCCAATTAAAGCAATGCGCGGTCACCGTTATTTTTTTCCCAAAACACAAATAAATAAAAAAAAAACAATTTTTTTTGTGACGTTGGGAAAAAAATAATTTTCAGCGTCCACTCCAATGTGCATATAAATATATATTTGTATAAATAAATAGCCCCCTCCATAGTTTATTTTATATAATTAGTCCAACAAACATATATATATTTGATCATAAAAATTTTTCTGAAATATGTATGCACGCGCCAAATTTTATTAATCTATTCTACGCATTTAATTTTGTATATATGTATATTGCCAAAGATGTGAGTATGTACGGAAAGAACAGCATAAGATGTATAAATTAATGATACATTTGTTTTAAATGATGACGAGATGTTTTAATTTAATATATTTCCTATACTTCCTATATATATATATTAGGTTGTCAAATATCGCTTTCTTTGTCTTTTGAATTTCGCGGCTATGTACAAAGCGCTACATCTGGCAACACTATAAATAATTTGAAAGGTCTTGACATAACCTACAAAACAACGCTATGCATGATTACTTTGGATATTGCGTTCAACAGTTATAGACGTGTAAACATGGAGTTCACTAACGCCGAAACTCGCGCTATTTTTTCTTCGTTAAAGGCAAATCAGCTAGAGAAACGTTCCGTGAGATTAATGGTGTTTGGGGGATGGTACTCTATCACTTCGAGTCGCGGAGGAATGGTTTCGACGACGGATAGTGACTGGCGACGAAAAATGGATCACATACGACAATATCAAGCGAAATCGGTCGTGGTCGAAGGCCAGTGAATCGTCCCAAACAGTGGCCAAGCCGGGATTGACGGCCAGGAAGGTTTTGCTCTGTGTTTGATGGGATTGGAAGGAATCATCCACTATGAGCTTAATACTACCATCTACTGTGAACAACTGGACCGCTTGAAGCAGGCGATCGACCAGAAGCGTCCAGAATTGGCCAACAGGAAGGGTGTAGTGTTCCACCAGGACAACGCCAGACCACACACTTCGTTGATGACTCGTCAGAAGCTACGGGTGCTCGGATGGGAGGTTTTATCGCATCCATCATATAGCCCGGACGTAGCGCCAAGTGATTACCACCTGTTCCTGTCCATGGCGAATGCCCTTGGTGGTGTGAAGTTGAACTCAAAAGAGACTTGTGAAAAGTGGCTGTCCGAATTCTTCGCAAATAAGGAGGGGGGCTTCTACGAGGAAAGTATTATGAAGTTGCCGTCTAGATGGAAACAGATCATCGAACAAAACGGCGCATATTTTAACTAAATCCGATCACTGTAACACTTTTTATAAAGCATTGAATGAAGAGCAAAAAAGCGGAAGGGAGATATTTGACAACCTTATATATGTAAAGTGTTGCCCTTTCGATATGTATTTTGTATGTGTGTGATTAATAAAATAGAACAAACTAAGATATAAAAGGTACAATGAATATCGCATTACAAAATAATAAATAAAATAAAAAGTGAAATCAAAATAAAAGTATTAATTAAAAAACTTGTAGACTTAAATGAAACAAAATTGAATTAAATTCAACCAAATAATAGATACGCAAATAATAATATTATCAAATATTATATCTTATATAGAAACAATAACAAATATTTCTTCAAAAGCAGTCGAAAATTAATAACAACAAATTTGCCCAAAGCCCCCTGCGATTAAAGCAAATAAACGAATGTAATTTCGAAAACAAAAAAAATATAAAGTAATAAAAGAAAAACCACAAATAAGTACGAGCTGAAAAAAAGTAATGTGACATTCGCTCATGGCAATCAAACTGAAAACTAAACAAATCAATCAGTAGTACGAATTAGCAAACGAGCCCATACTCGCTTTTGCTTTAGGGCGATACCAATCGAATCGTTTGAAGATATTGAAATGCAAGAAAGTGTGTGAAAGTGCCGAGCTCCACTGGTCCGGTGAGTGATTAGTCGGTTAATGGTTTAGATATTCAAAATGTGATTGCTTTTAATTTGCCAATATCTTAAGTATTTAAGTTAAACGTGGGGTGTGGATTACAAAGCTGTTTATATGGGAATATCAACTCCTCAACGCCCGAGTGTGTTTCTAACATGTAATGATGTCCCGGTGCTACCAACATCCAAAAGTTATGGAAAATTAATTTAAAGAAACAATTTACTTAAATTTTGTAATTGCGGTCGCCCCTTGGCAGGGAATGTCCCCCCCCCTCAAAGTGTATTTCGGACATGAAATAAAGGCTCCTCGTAAAAAAACCATCAGCCGTTCGGTGGCGGCTAAGTAAAAATTGTAGGTGCCTCCATTTGCCCTGCATACAAAGTAATGTTCGTTTTAAAATAAAAAATAAAATACACTAAAATAAAATAAAATAAATTAAAACAAAATGAAATGTAGTAAAACAAAATAATGGGAAGCAGTTTTTTCTAATTTGGCATAAGCATAAGTATAACACCTTCAAATGCGGATTTTTCACGCTTTGAGTGAAAACACTTTATTGACTTAAATGAAGTTATTTTTTTTAATTGCGGTCGCCCTTCAGCAGATGATGTCAACCCTTCCAGAGTATATTTCTAACATGTAACAAAGGCTTTCCATAAATATTCGGCTGAGGTTTGGTATAGACCCCCTACTAGTTGGTAGTACTTTTACGACTCACATCACAAGCTGCAGGAGGAGCTCGGCCAACATAACCTCAGCGGACACAAAGCACAAATTACTATTTTTATTGCTATTTAAGTTTGTTTTAATTCTTTTATTTTATTTTATTTTAAATTAATTTAATTCATTTCATTTTTTGTTCTTTATTTGTTGTATTTAATTTTATATTATTTCATTTTATTTTATTTCTTCTTACCTTTTTTAATTTTATTTACCTTATTTTATTTTTTAATTGTATTTTATTATAATTTTTTTATTTTATTTTAATTAGATTTCATTAATTACTTTTTTATTTTATACTTAGTTACTTTATTTCATTTTATTTGTTTAATTCTACTTACGTTATTTTATTTTATTTTACATTATTTTATATTTTTCTGTTATTTTATACTATTTTCTCTTATACTGTTTTATTTTATATTATTTTATTTGAATTAATTTGATGTTCTTTTACTTTATTTTACTTCACCTTATATTATTTTTTAATTTTTTGTTGTCTTTATTATATTATATTTTGTTTAAATTTATTTTATTTAATTTTATTTAATTTAATTTTATTTTATTTTATTTTATTTTATTTTATTTTATTTTATTTTATTTTATTTTATTTTATTTTATTTTATTTTATTTTATTTTATTAATTTGAATTAATTTGATGTTCTTTGACTTTATTTTACTTCATCTTATATTATTTATTATGATATATTTTTTTCATCTTATTTCATTTTATTTTATTTTATTTTTATTCTATTTTATTCTTTCATTAATTTTATTTCACTTCATTTCATTTTTTTTAATTTAATTTTGTTTTATTTCATTTTATTTTAATTTATTTTTTATGTAATTTTTTTTTATTTTATTTTAGTTTGTTTTGTTCATATTAATTGTTTGGATTTAATTTAATGGTTAATTTCTAAACTTCGTTTGTCCTTTTTACTAAGGCTTAGATATTTATAAAATATAATTTCACTTTGCATATAAGCTTTAACTAGAACTATTGTATATAAAATAATTGTTATCATATGCACACCCTAATCTGCATATGTACTTTATTCTATTATAATTTGTTGTAGGGGCAGCATGCCTGGCAGCAATAACAATTGGCGCGAAAGAATTTTCACAGTGTTTTTCTACTCATGAATACGTCGTAAATTTGCTTTTCTTTTCTTTGCTATTTATTTTTTAACGTGAACCAAAATAGCACTTGGCGACATAAATGTCGCGCATACGCCACGCAACACAGCCACTTCACATTGAAGAAGGTAAGCAGAGAATCGCAACAAAAACAAATGTAGTAAATGTCGATGAGCGAGTATGAGGAGTGTGAAATTGGTCATTAAAAAGCAGAATTATGTTTAATAAATTTTTGTATAACAACAAAGCTGGTGGGAGAAGAAAAGACAAGTGGCAAGAGAAATAAAACAAAATAGATCAATAATTGACGCAAAAGGTGTAAACAAAATAATCAGAAAAAATATATATTCACGAAATTGGCAAGTAGAGGGACAGAATTATTTTTATATTTGCAATGTGAGAAATAGAAAGGCACGTTTTTACACGCTCGCTTGACTTACCCTCGATTTCTGATGCATTGGCTATTGAACGAGTGAGACGATGGCGTTGCTGCTACCTTTACGGTTGCAGTCGCACTCGCGGTTATGCTTACTGCGCTGCTGCCTAGGCTGCTTGCCACATCGATCGAACTGTACCAGATGATCGGCGCTACTGCTGACACTAACACTGCCACTACCACTGCTGACGTCAAAGCGCGCGTATATTTTAGTTCGTGTGTACTTTTTGTGCCACCGTCTCTTGCCTATTATTGCACGTGTGTGTTCGTATTTGTTTATTCAATTTTCTACTAATTGATATTTTGATATTTATTTAATGTTATTACTTCACGCCTTTATTCATGCTGCTGATTATACTCGATTTAACGTATTTGTTTATTTTTATATGTTTGATTTGCTCTACACTTTTTCGCCTGGAGTTTTAATTGCTCACTATCCTTTAGCTTTTCTTGTTAATTTTTTTTATTTTTTTTTCGCTTGTTGTCCTACCACTTTGACGTACTAATTAGTGGACGCTGCTGCTGCGACTGCAACTGCCGCTGACAGCTAGCTCACAACAAACAATCTCCTCTTTTGCTATGCTCGGCATTTATTTTCTTAATGTGTCCGTGAAATAGCGCCGGGGGTGTGTAGATGGGGGTGGAGAAGTCGGTATTGTGATGAAAAGGAGAATGCTGTAGTAAGTATGTGCGTGGGCGTGCGTGCTTAACACTTCTTCTCCCTCAGAGTTTGTTTAACTGAGTTGCAGTTTCTTATACTTTTCACTCTTGTCTGCTGCTCTATTCTCTTTCCTTGGCATTCATATATATATTCATACTAACTTTTCATATTTATACACACACATGTGTACACGTAGGTAAAAACTTGTATAAGCCTCTAGTATATACGGTTGTGTATTTTAATTAGGTACGTTCAGCGTATTTTCTCAGGCATTTAATTGAGTGCGTTCTTGGGATTTGCATAAAAATCTTAGTGCGGATGTATGTGTGTGTTTGCATTTGTGTGTGTGTATGTGTGTGGGTTTATGCTTTTCTGCTTGCTTTTCATATTATTCCCAAATTGTATATCATTTCAGTTGTTTTTCCAGCTTTTGCATTTGTTTTTGTTTTCGTTTTTTGTTGCCTCACTTTGTTATTATACAATTCACATAATTGTTTATAATAATTTGCTTTTGTTTTCATTTCGTAAGTCATTCTGCTCTTTGTTGCTACTCTGCATTTTAACACTTGGTGGCAATTAAATTCTCGTTTATTTGTCACTTTCTGCTGTGTTTAATAATTTTATTAATAGTTGAATGTATTTTATGACTTGGTAAGTACTCCAATATGCCCCGACTTGGCGTGTTTTTTTTTTTTTGTTTGTTTGTTTATTATTCAAGTGTGAGTCACATTTATACATTTCAGTCTAATGTTTTTGCACGCTTTAGAGATAATTTTTTGAATTTTGTTATCAAATATTTTTTTATTTAGTCTTAGATTTATTTATTTTAAAAGTACACATACATACGCAGCCGTTTTAAAAGTTGGTTGAAAAACTTAGTTTTTCCTTTGCTTTACTATATTAACTGTAGAGTTCTAAATTGCCTTATGATATATATTTTCTCTATGGATTTATTTTTTTTTTATTTTACTTGTATTTTGTAATGTAAAGAGGACGGTCGTTTATTTCGAGTAAAATTACGTTAGTCTAGGCTTAAAATGTACAATAAAAAGTTTAAAAATTAGACACACTCCGTTGCACTGTACCCTGCATAGCGTCACTTATGGCACGCCTCTCAGCTAAATCGTTTATTTTAAGTTATTATTATTATTATTAATTTTTTTATTTTTTATTTTATTTTTTTTAAATTAATAGTTCAACAGTTCAAAGACTTAGAATATATTAAACATATATTTCTCTGAATATTATACTTTTATATTTTATTTTTTTTTTTGTGACCTTTCGCTTGTTGGAGTGTAAAATGCGAAATATTTTTCAATGCATTTCAACTCATGTTTTTCATTAATTATGTATATTTATGTACTTTAATAATTATTTCACGTATGCAGATATGCCTAAAATACACACACACGCACAATAAACTATAATGATTATTTTTAATTAATTGCATTTACCCGTTACTTCATATGCTAAACGTTTTTTCTTTGTTTTTATTGTAGAAATAATTAAGTTTTTTTTTTGCTTAATATGTTTATTACACAATATCAGTTTATTTCTATGTATGTACACTTACACATATTTACATTTGTCTGTAAACAACTGCAAGTATGTAATTTTGTAATGTTATTTCTGTTATTTGTTATGATTTTATTAATTAAAAATTTTCAATTAACGGTCTTTCATAATAAAGTCTGTTGTTGTTTGTATGATTGTTTTATTTACTTATTTTTTTTTTTAGTTTTCTTATGAGTACTTAAGTATGTATTTAGTATTTATTTGTTTTAGTTTTAAGGTTTAAGTCACACCTAAATTTCACAACCACACGACGTGAGAGTACTCGGGAGGGGGAGGATTTAGAGTACGAATAGATAGTTGTTTTTCTTGCCGCTGCCACTGTCACTGCCACTGCCACTGCTGTTTACTTTAATATTTTGCATAACACTTTTCTATCTGGTCATTCATATATAACGGTATATTTATCTTTTTTTTTTTACTGGTCACTACATATTTTAGCGCCCACATATACTGTCTTTTCATAATTTTGGTTTATTTTACTACTTTCAACTTTAACTACACTTGTATGTGCTATAGGCTTTGCTAAAATCAAATATAATATGTACAAAAATTATGTAGTGTGGATTATAATTAGACAAGCGAGATTTTGTTTTTTGTAGTTTTGTACTTAATCTATACCGAAAACTTGGAAATCATGGATATCATAAATAATCAGAACATTCAAAACGAAAGCGACTTTTCGTGATATGTTTAATATTAAGCGTGATAGTGAAAGGGTAAAGTGTGGTGTTAACGATTTAACATTTAATGATTCAACATTATCTGTTGACGATTTAACATTATCTGTTAACGTTCAACATTATTTGTTAACGTTCAATATTATCTGTTAACGGTTAACATTATCAGTTAACGATTTAACATTATCTGTTAACGTTTAACATTGTCTGTTAACCTTTAATATTGTCTGCTAACCTTTAACATTATCTGTTAACGTTTGACATATCTGTAAATGATTTAACATTAACGACAGCTTTACGTTTCGGGTAAAAACGAAAAGAAAGTTATTTTGATAACTGCCTTAACGTTACGATTTTCAAATGTTTCGAACGAAACGGTCTCGATATAGAGTTATCCATTTTGTGGTTTTAAAATTACAAAGCTTTATTTTGATATCTGTGAAATTTAACTGTTAAACCAAACATGTTTTGTTTTAATTAATGGTCAGTTATTTATGAAAGTGGTAGTTTCGCGCCTTCCCAGGAGATTATGGTGCACGTAATCATCTAGCTACTTAAGGAATTTGGTAAAAAATTTTCAGAAATTTGAAAATACTGCATCAGTCACAGATATATATTATAAAACCTTTATATCAACGTTTTGCTCATTCCACCTCAGATATCACTGCTATAACTGAACTCATTGAAAGTAGAGTCAAACAGCCGGTTGTTTATAATTCTCGATGCTTTGACTTTCGATTGAGTGTTTGATCAGTGTACCGTGATTTTCGAACAAAAGAAAGAACAAAGAAGAGAAAAGAAAGTCTTTGGCAATTCAAAACATTATGATCGCATAGAGACGATGGATAATAGACTTTTTTGAAGAACATGGTTTAAGCCATATGTGGTTTCATCAAGTTGATGTCGCATGCCACACAACGCGATCTAATATGGCTTTATTGCGAGTGTAATATTTGGTAAAAAAAATTCGAGGAATAGCTCGTAAAATTTAGAAGATCTTATATGATTAGGCTCGCCGTTTTAGTGCCATAGTGATGAGTATAAGTCATGTGAAGAAGATACTAATATTTATATTACTCAGAGTGGCAAATGTCAACGTGAGATGAGTACCCTGGCCAGTAAAGGTGATATCTTAAAAAATTTTATAGATAATTTGGAGATTAAACCTGCATAGACGAAGCACTTGAGCCAAAAGAGAAGTCTCTGAAATGGCATAAGATCCGCCTATAAGAACTTCGAAACATCGAAGACGGCAAAAAATTAGTACATATATACAGTGAAGTGAAGGACAAGTTAAAAAAAATGTATATAAATTGTATTTATATTGGAATTGATTTTTCCAGTCCTAAAATTAGATAAGTTTTCATACATAAAAGTTTAAAAACATTCAGTTGCGCCGCATGTAACTTTACTTTAAGTTTTACTTTTAATTAATAAAGTTATTTTAAAGAGAAAAACTACTTAAACAGGCACACCGAAATTCTTGGAATATTCACTTTTAGTTTATAATCACTTAATTAATAATATTATCTAAAAAAAATTATGTTTTCTTAGCTCAGCAACTCAAACATCACTTTTGTTCGCGCGTAGGTAATAATAATTTGATCTTCAATTTTCACTCTTCTATTGCATTGAACTCCATTTTTTATTTATTTTTTAATAGCATTCAATTCATAGTTTTTTTCTGGAATAATAATTTTCATACAAATTTATATTTACTTAACTTATTCGTATTATTACTTAGTGGCTAATATGTTACTAGATCAATCTAAAAAAAAATATAAAGCGAATAAAAGCATTTTTTTTGTAACCAAGTAAAAATCGATTTTTCATTTATTTTGGTTTTTAATTGTTTTTTTAATGAGCGCTTCACAATCTTAGCTCAAAAACTACAGACAGTACAAAATCCAAATACTTTTAAAAACTACGAACAAAACACAATACCGATATGACAAAATACAGATAACTCAATATCCCAAAAGAACAAAATAAGCAATGAAGAGTATGAATACAAAACTAAAACAATATTGAAACAATATTTCATAGAACAACCCATTCTAATATTTGATTTATTGGCAGATTTGCACTACATCTCCAGGTTTACTTTATACATCACATTTGAGTGGAAGTTAGTCTATTAGGTGTACAACTTTGCTTCCGCCGTTTTTTTCCAAAATTAAAAACGAAAAAGGGCTTACAGATATATTATTCAAAGTATTGTCCTTCGCTAGCGACAACTTTCTCCCATCTTTCCGACAATTTTCGGATCCCGGCTCGAAAAAAGGAATCTTCTTTTGACGCTATCCATGAAGCAATCCATTTTTCCAATTCTTCGAAGGATTGAAAATGTTGATCTGCCAGGCCGTGTGCCATCGAACGGAATAGGTGGAAGTCAGAGGGGGCGAGATCTGGGGAATACGGCGGGTGGGGTAAGACTTCCCATCTCAGCGTTTCTAGGTAGTTTTTGACCACTTTTGCGACGTGAGGCCGAGCATTGTCGTATTGGAGGATGACTTTGTCATGTCGCTTTTCTTTTAGGGCGCGACTAAGGCGGATCAGTTGCATTCGGTAGCGATTACCTGTGATGGTTTCACCCAGTATTAAGATCTCGTAGTAAATCACACCAAGTTGATCCCACCAAATACAAATCATAACCTTGCTTGTCTTCGACATCGAAATCACCATTCTTAAAACGTTGAAACCACTCCCGACACGTTCTTTCACTCAGAGCAGCAACACCGTAAGTTTCTGAGAGCATTCGATGCGCTTCAGCTGAATTTTTTTTTTTCGAGTTGTAACAGAAAAGTAAAACTTCCCGCAAATGGCGAGAATTATGCACATAAACGGACATTTTTGAGCATGAATAATACGAAAACAAGAACAACTGTCACTAAAACGGCGATGACAATTCGTAAGGCACTGTCCACACTCACTTTAAAGGCATTATCATCTATGTATATCAACCAGCCTCAGCCGGTACAGCCACCTATCGGAAAACGGCGGAAGCAAAGTTGTACACCTGAAGTTATGTAAACTCGAACAAAAATAAAAAAAATTAAAAAAAATTGCTAAAAAATTTCATTAATTTGTATGCTGAGGAATTTTTGTCTGGACTGTGTCGTTGTGAGGATTTTAATTTCTCATATGTGTTTGTGTCTGGAATGTGTCATGATATGCGGTTTATATTAATCGGAATTTTGTATTTCAAGACTTGTCTTGTCTTGTCTTGTCTTGTCGGGATTTCATAACACAATCGATTTATTATAATAAATAATTAAGAATTTTTAAATTGTTGTTGTTATTTCGGCAGACCGCGGCTGAATTCCGTTCGCTGCTCTGTTCTTTTGAAATGCGCAAAATGACATTGATCGTTGCATCGTCATGATAGCCGAGTGGTTAGTGGTTATTGGTTTAGCGCGTCAAGCCCCCGGTTCTAGTTCCGTTAGAGACAAAAAAATTTTTAAGCATTGTTCTAATATTTGGTGAAAATAATTCTTTGATTTTATTTTTTTTTTAATGTTTGGTGACGCAGAAATTTTTAATTTTAATTTTTGATGAAACAGAAATTTTCACCTCCACCTCATTCGTATGTTGTTTTTGTTTTTAGTATGACTCGGCTGAGTCTAAGTTCCTAAAAAGTTCTGTTGAAGTGCGCAGATCTCGTTCCTCCATATATTATATAATATAATACCGATAGTTGTTGTTGTTGTTGTTGTTTTAACCGCAAATATAATCCCCAAAGCACTTTTTGGGGAATGTTGCGGGAGTGACAATCCTTGGCCGGATAAAAATCCGGGTCGTTCCGGTATGAAGACCCGACTATCGCAGGAACTATTGGATTTTAGTCGCCTCTCACGACAGGCATGCCTTACCGCGGGTAAATTCTTTAGCCCCTAACCCGCAGGGTAGATAATACCGATAGTCTGGTGGTTAGAGGTTTTCACTGTGGTGCGTGAAGTTCTTGGTTCGATTATCGCAGCCGACAAACTGAATTTTATTTGATTTAGTTTTTTTTCTTTGGTGAAGTAGAAATTCAACATGCCGAAATGAACTAGTATTATACTAGTATGAAACTGATGCATGCTAGGACAATCGCAGAACATCGCCGTGTTAAAAATACCAGTTGCTTATATGGAAAATGGATGAAGATGAACTAGTTGATGTAAAAAATTAAACTAGTTTAATTCTAGTTGACAACTAGTATTTTGCCCTGCAGGGATGATACAATTTGGCAAGAACTTCTGACCGATCTCATATTTATAATATTTTCATGGAGGTTATAGCCTCTAATGCCAAATAAAAGAAACAAATTCAATCTCAAATTCTCGAGGAAAAATGCAAAAAAAGGGTCCAAATAAGTTTTCGCAAAGGAAACTAAACTACGTACAAAGATTTTTGCCAGAAATATGCTCGCGAACCCAATAATTTTAAAAA